CCGTCTTTACAGCAGGTGCAGATAAGCTGGAACAGCGTAGCAACCTGAGACTGCATGGGATTGAGCACTTGCATAACCAAGCTGGTGTCCGTGACTCGACCAACATGAGACAAACGAGGCCTTGCAGTGAGTCGGATCCCCGCTTAACTGCAATACCACCAAGCCAAAAAGGGCACTCTACTCACAATGCTGCTCAATATTGGTTCAAACCCGAAAGCCTGGCAAACCGTCATTATGGACTCGTGAATCCACCGAGAAACACTCTCGTTCAGCTCCTTGGTCTCTGCCTTCATGCCTGCTGCGAACTTGTCATGGTTGCCGCCAAACCTCAACTGCAGTATGAGGCTCCAACAGCCGGGCATGCTTGGTCTCTATCTCATGGGCCCGCTTCGGTTGCTCCGGCCACTCGAGAAGACTCAACACCTCAACACACAGGATTCCGGCACGGACAAGCTCCAAGACAGCCCCAAATTCCGACTGCAGACAGACTTGCCGTCAACGGAGCTTCAACTGTGTGGGCGATTTGGACTAGGGCCGTTAGCAGGGGTGTGGGACGGGGTCATTGCACCATTCAGCACCGAAACAACATGAAACAACCATCTTCTCTGAGCCACTCTTCACGCAGCATGGCGGCCTTGGAGATCTTAACGACATTCTGGACCTGCTGATGCTGAACACAAGTAATAGACCTGAAGGCCCTCAGAGCAAATGTCTGGGTTGTAAAGAGGCTGGACAGGATTGCAACGCAGCTTTCTCGAAGTGAAGGACTTCAACGAGTCGTCAGCAACCAAACGCACCTTGCGCCCGACGCCGTTGAAAAGTCGGAACAGCTCGCGAGCGACACCTGCTCAGTGCATCACAACTTGGAGCGTGGATGACGATTGCACTTGGCGCCTCTTATTATGCACAAAGCTCCATGTCCAAATCTGGAGATTACTCCGTTGGCGCACCCTTCTGGCCGGCGTCGAAGTGCTCGAACCAAGCGCCGTTCAAGCTCTCCTGTGAAAGTGCACGTGGCTGTTTCCGTGTTACCTCATACACGAACACTCTGTGATCACATTCGACAGACGGGCTGAAAACGCACTCTGAATCCTGACCATCAACCCTAAATTCGCCTCCACTCGGTCGAAGGCACCTTTGATGGCGTCCATGCGAGAAGCCACCTGCCAGTGCTTAGAATTGACGTTGAAGCGGCTTGAGCGCGAAGTGTTTTGACCCTTGTGCACTTCGAAGCGGCAAACTTTAAGCCAGCACCGAGTTGGATGATTACCCGAGTCTGTGCACATCGAACTGAAACATCCTGAACATGTCATCTGCTGTATGCAGCGCAAGCTCCAGTGAGGCTCTGTAAAGCCTGCCCGACTCTCGCGGACGACGGGACTCGACTCGCACAGCACAGCCAAGTGCAAGTACACCTACCGACCTACCCACCCACCCACC